GGTGGGTTGCAGTAGATGGTATTGGAGAGTATTCTTTATTGGAGGGTATTCCGCACCAGTGGGAGAGCGCTGTTGCTTGCAGGTTTATTTATTTACTCATTTTATATCCCACCTTCACCCCAGTGTACAACCCAAGGAAGCTCAAAGCAGATACAACTATAAAAGCACACAATAAATGTAAATATTTTTTAAAGCAAGTAACCCTATTAAAAATACTACTGAAAACACTAAAGACCATTTAAAAGGGCACAACCACCCACAAATGACCCTGCCGCAACAGCCAGTTAGTGGCCAATCTCTATTGGAACAAAAAAGTCTTTACCTGTTGGAGCAAGGAAAGCAGAGAGGGGTCCAGGCTGGCTTCCTGTGGAAGGGAGGTCCACAATCTGAGAGCAGTCACTGAGAATGCCCTGCCCTCTCTTGTGTCCCCACCAAATGTGCCTGTGAAGGTGGTAGGACCCAAAGAAAGGCCTCTCCAGAAGACCTGAAAGCCCAAGCAGGCTCATATGGGGAGAAAATTGTGCTTCAGATAGCCTGGACACAAGCTATGTTTGGATTTGCAGGCCATAACTTTACACTTTGAATTGTGCCCAGAAAGAGACCAGTAGCCAGAGGGGCTGTAGTCACAAGAAGTTCTCCCTGTTACTGGCTCCAGTAAGCAATTTGGCTGCAGCAACTTGGACTTGCTGAAGTTTCCAAACACTTTCCAATGGCAGTCCCACATAGAGCACGTTACAATAATCCAAACAGGGTGTACAACCAAGGCATGTTGCTCCATGGCTGGATCAGACACCTCCAAGAATTTGCACAGCTAATGCCCTTGCTTCAAATGTGCAAGCACACTCGTGGCCACTGCCAAAACCTGGGCATCTAGACTCAAGACTGAACCCAGGAGTATGTCCAACTTGCAAACGTGAGATATCAGTGGAGTGCAACTCCATTCAGCACAGGCTGAATCCCTGCTTCTCTTATCTGCCTTTCAACCAACCATACTGGTGACACTGAACTCCAAAACTCTTGACAGCATCTCCTAGCTTTTTCTGGTAAATGTTAAATAGCATTGGGGGATATGACAGAAACCCAAGTGACACCACAGGCCAGTGGGGTGGGGTGGAAAGGAGCACAGGGGCAGTTACCCCAGGTGCAAAATTGTTAGGGGGTGCAAAATTTCAACACCCGGTACTGTCTCAATGTAGCTGTGCACTTCCGTCACTCCACTGAAAACGGCTTCTCCACGAGAACCAGGAAGTGATCTATCCAGACAATGGAACGACTATTCTTTTCTTATCTCCATGACTGTGATGCACATGCATATTCCGTCTGAGTCCTTCTCACTTATCCACCTACCTCTGCATGGCCCCGGGCACTGGCAACTCACGTACATCACTGCCATAGGCCAATAGCATCAGTTCAGCTATGGTGAGAACAAGATGCTGGACTAGATGGGTCTTTGGTCTGGTCCAGCAGAACTGTTCCTATGTTCTTAAAGGCTTCTAACCCATCTTTCAAGGCACATCGCCTTCTCGGGGCAACTTACACAAAGTTTTAGAACAACAAAAACAGTTATAATTTAACCATTAATTGGGGGAAAAAATTAAAATCAGCGGCAGCTAAAATTCTTCAAGCGTAGCAAAATAATTAATCATAGCAGGCTGGAATAAAAATGTCTCCAGAGTTTTCTTAAAAACCACCAGCCATATAGACATAGTTAATTTATGTATATATCACATTTAACAGAAATGCCTCCGTGCTCAACAGCGGTTCACATACAAAACAGCTCCAATTCAGTAGTACATGAAATAACAATAGATTCAGGCAGGTAGCCATGTTGGTCTGACCCAGTTGAAATAAAAATAAACACAAATAACAAATTGTCCAGTAGCACCTTATAGACCAACTCAGTTTGTTCTGGTATAAGTTTTCGTGTGCATGCACACTTCTTCAGATACACTGAAGCAGAAGTCACCAGACCCTTATATATAGTGGGAGGGTAGGGTGGGGTGGGGTATTTCTCAGAAGGGTGGTAGGAGATGGGTGATTGGCTCAGTGGGCATGGTAAACCTGTTGACGACTGTTAACGATTGTTAACGACTGCAATTAGTCCTGCAGGAAAAAGCAAGGGATAGTGTGCACATGACCAAAAATAGCTTTAGCTTGTGTAATGAGACAAGAAATAACAATGTAGAACAAAAAATAACAATGTAGAACAAAAATGAGGAACAACACTGCAACATACTACTAAAAATAATAAACTGCAATTATCATTATATTTAACAGGCATCACAATTTAAGTGGGAACAAAGTTGACCAATAGGTGCAATGATACCCAATAAGCCTGAAAGCTAATGATATTGATACTTAGCAAAAACAAGCACATATCTTTTATTCCTCAACCCAAAAGTGCTCTTTAGATTCTTCTAAAAGGAGACTCCTTATGAAAAGCTTGAGGGTGGAACAAGGGAGATGGAAATAAACACAAACTGGATGGCAATCAGAAGTCACACCCACATCATATTTTTAAAGAACATTTAAAGCATGTGGCTTCCCCCAGTGAATTCTGGGAACTTTATGCCTCACAGAGGTACCATTCTCAGCAAACTTAACATACTAGAGTTCCCAGGATTCTTTGGGGCAAAGCCCTGAGATTTAAATGTATGGTGTAGATGTTACCAGTTTCCCCTGGGGGTGTATTTGGTGGGGGATGGAGTTCCAAAAGGGCAGGGCCACCACTGAAAAGGCTTTGTCCTTGTTACATGCCATCTAACCCCTATCCAGATGCTGATCTCAACGCACAGGCAGGGCCATCTGCATGCTGGTGGTCTTTCAGCTAACCCAGTCCCAAGCTCCTTAGGGCATTAAAAGCTAAAACTAGCATCTTGAATTGGACATGGAGAGAACAGGCAGCCACTGTGTAACTGTGTAAAATGTGTAACGGAATATGGAGGTACAACATCTCCAAGAGTTTTAGTAACTACGTGCTCAATTGCAGTTTTAGTAACTACATTCTGTCTCAATTGCAGTTTCCAAATAATCTTCAGAAATAGCCACCTGTTGAACACACTGCAGCCATCTAACCAGGACATAACCAAAGAGCATGTCACTGACGTTTGTTTATTTATTACATATTTATCCCATCCTTCCTCCAAGGAACTAAGGAAAATGTGTCCTCTCCTCTCCACATTCTTTTGCACAACAACCCTGCAAAGTAGATGAGTTTTGAGGGATTTGAACACAGGTTTTCCCAATACTAGTCAATATATCACACTAGCTTTCAGTGGTGTGTGTGTGTGTGTGTGTGTGTGTGTTGAATCTCTCACATTGACTTCTGCAGTCCATTTGCTTGATTCAAAGTTGAGAGAACTACAAATGTGAACCTAACCAGGGTCTGGCTTTTTTCCTCAGAGCTCTGATTTGCCATTCGTTGGCTGGGACCCACCAGCAGGACACCACAGCCTTGTGATCTCGCCTTCATAAGGCTGATTTCTTTGCTACATCTCTCCATGATATCCACATTCTGACCTCTGGTGCTTCCCAGCATATGTCTTCTTGCATAAATTCCACCTGGGATCATATGCCTGGGAGAAGTCAATGAGCCACCACACTCAACCATCAGACCAAAATAAGGAGAGGATAGTGAGCTTGCAGCCAAGGAAAGGAAAAGGGAAAAAAGCTTTATATATATATAATATTGACGACGCAGTTAGATAGGGTGCCATTGCTGTGCCTCTTCTCACCCACCCCAGATCTGCTGCAAGCAATGTTTTAATATTGCCCCACAGTTGATGTGGGGGGAGCCCAAGAAGCTGCAGTCCATTGTTCCATATATCTCAGTATCTTTTCAGCATTGCAATGAAGTTGTGATTCTTGGTAAGAAACCGACAGAGTTTTCAACACCCTCATTACCCTAACAACCCCCCTCCCCTACACACACACACAAACACACACACACACATTGAGAAAGCTGTGAGAGTTGAAGTAGCATGATGTGGGTTTGGTAGTGTGGGAATAGAGTTCCTTCCATATGTGCTATTGTGGAGCAATATTCTCAATTCGTGCATCAAGCTCCTCCACCTTCCGCTATATAAGCACATCACATTGTCGACTCCACTCGGTTCACGAGAAGGAAAATGACACCAGATCTCAAAAGGGTTCAAAGCTGCAACATGGCTGTTCTTTCCCAACCTCTCTCCAAAGTGTTATTCCTCCCCATTATTGGAAAATATCATCCTTCCTATCTCCCCATCCCACTCCATTTCATCACAAGAGTATTGTGGCATCACCACCAAGGGCTAAGCAGAGACCAGCAAGCTGCATAAGCAATAACTTTTTTATTTTGGTTTTCAAAAAGCATTGTTCTGAGACAGGCACAAACTCTTGCAAAACTAGATTAGGTTTTGGTGCACTGATCAGACTAAGCTGCCACACTAACACACATGCGACCCACCATCATTCACCCCCCAACCCCCCCTCAAATAACAGCAGGGGGAGACCAAGCATAGCAGTGTCCCAACAGCCTTTAAAACATCACACCTTTTAAGAAATTTCTTCGAGGCAAGGAGAGGCGACACACACACTGGAAAGCTAGTCTGCTAGAGTGGCAAAGAGGCAAAAAAACACAGAAACAGGGGGCATGTTTCTTTACAGCCATGAAACAGACTATCCATCCTATTTCTCCTAGAAAGAGCTTCCCCCTGCCAGCCACACCTCCTTTCTTCTATAGTGTAACCCTCTCAATGTGCAGCGTGCCAGACATTTCTCCAGCCTCATCCACACCCACAGCTGCACACCAGCTCTCTTGATGCACAGAGCTGTCAGAGCCAGGGGCTGAAACCAAAGTGCACCCCAAAATCCCATGCATCCTGGTGCGTCCACCAAGCCTCCTAGAATCTCAGCCAACACCCGAGCGTAAAACCTATAGCACATAAGCCGCTGACCACCTATTATCACCAGCTCTGTCCCGGAGTAAAAAAAAAAAGAAGAAAAAGAGTCTCTGCTCCTACCTGAGGGTGGCGCTCTCCCCTTGCCGGACGGTCACGTTGTCCATCGCCTTGGGGAAGGTGGTATCTCCGCTGCGCACTGGCACTCCTGCGGGCACAAGGAAGAGGAGCCTGAGAGACAGGACGACCAGGCACCGCCAGGGCAGGACTAAGCACCCACCGACCCCCATCCTGGGCTTTCCTCAAGGCAAAGATATATATATATTTATTAAAACAACCAGAGAGATGGATGGAGATTGGTTTGACAGGGACACCTCGCGGTGCCAAGTGTGGGCACAGAAGGGGAGGAGAGAAAGTGACGATGAGGAGGGAGAGGGCGGCGGAGCCTTTAGAAATCCAGTTTTTGGGTTTGTAGCTTTAGAGATCCGAGCCTCCCGAAAGGCATCCAGCGGAGTCCCAGGGAGGAAGAAGAAGTGGGCCCCCCAAGGTGGCCAAGTTGCTGCGCGCCTCACAAACCAGAGCTTCCGATCAAGAGTTCGTGCATCTCACTTTGCTGGAGGAGGTGCGCTGCGCTCCGGCGCGGTAGGGCACAGCCGGCGCTCCGAAGCCGCGCAAGGCGACGCGCTCCAGAGCGGCCCCTCCGGCCGGAGTTCCAAAAAATAAAACTCCCCGCAGAAGAACTCGGGGAATGGGTGGGGCGAAGAAGGGGGGGGAAGCACCCCCGGAGTAATCTCAGAGGGAGAAGCGACAGGCCTCCTGCTCCAAAAGCTCCGACGGTGCCACAAGGCAGGATGGAAGGGAAGGTCCGGCCGGCTGCCGCTGCTGCCCGGCGCTGAGGCTCGTGGTCGGGAGCGGATAAGAGCCTCTTCCCAGCTCAGCTGTGCTCCTCGCCGCCGCTCAGCGAAGGGAGGCTGCGAGGAAAGGCATGGCAAAGCTGGCGGTGCCGGCTGTTGCTGCTGCTGGGGCTGCTGCTGCCTGGACCAGGGCTAGGTTCAGCATCCCGGATGCGCTCTGCCTCCTGACTGGGCGCATCTCCTCCTCTGCCGAATCGCAGCCTCTCGCGCCGGCTCTCCGGAGCACACACACGCATCGGCTTGCAGGGGTTGTCATGGCAGCAACTCCATCATCGCTGACCAGCACTTGGGCTCCGCGGCACAGGCAGCGCCGCTCAGGAGCGCAGACTTAGCACATTAATCTCAGCCAAGGACACCGGGGATGGGGGGGACTCTCCTTGCTTTTAACCCTCGCGGCGCCGGCGGGTGCACCTTGGGACGCCGGAGAGGGGGGGGCTTCTTAACCCTTGCGGGCCCGCTCCCAAACAACTAGCTCGCCGTGTGTGTGTGTGTGTGTGTGTGTGTGTGTGTACTATTCGAGTCCTGCATTTCTCTTTACTGGCGGCCGCGGAGCTGTTGGCACTGCGACCTACTATCCCGAGGTCTGACGGGGTTGAGGGTGGAGGGTGAGTGAGTCCAGAGCGTGGCATCCAGCCAACTTGGTGGATTTTTATTTGAACCCTGGGCTTTCCTCCCTGACCGCCTACATCCGCTCTCGAAGTGGATAATGCAGGGTGAGGATGGAGTGGCGCAGAGGCTAAAGTGCAGGGAGAGTGAGGTAGAAATCCTGTTTGGATGATAAACCTGCTGGAGACAAGCCACTCTTTTTCTCAGGCCTCAGTTTGCCCAGCCTGAAGTATGGGAACAATGATGGCTAGTTATTCTAATAGTTGTTTTGCATATGATGTTATTTTATATCACACCCTGTGTTTCTCTACTAAATTATAGCTGACTAAAAGTCTTGAATAATAATAGTAATAATAATAATAATAATTCTACCTTACAGGTCTACCCTATTCCTGTAACTTGTTTTAACCCCTTTAATGTTTAATTTTTCATTGTTGCAACCTGAACTGGGACCTGATGGTGAAGGATGGGTAATAAAGCAAATAAATATGTAAATTAATAATATGAAGATTACTGTTAATAGGAAAATGCCCAGAGCACTCAAAGAATCACTAGATACATTATGAGCATGATGGAAAGAAACACAGCTGAAACTGCCAGGCATTTTCTGTTCCATGCCAGATGCCTTGAAAAAGGTGTTGACGCTACACACCTTGCTTTTTGCTACTACCCTCCAGCTGGGAAACTTATTTACTACATTGTATGGTCAGCCAACCACATATGTTCTCTGGGCATACCAGTGAAAAGAACAAAACTGCAATATTAAAAGTACAATGCAGAAGCAGCATGGAAAACTTTTCACTCTCCCTCAGATATACAACAAAATACAAACCATAGAATCATGGAATTCTAGAGTTGGAAGGCACCCTGAGGATCATCTAGTCCAACCCCCAGCAACGCACCTGGCCCATACAGGGATCAAACCGAAAACCTTGACATTGTCAGCATCACACTCTAACCAACTGAGAGGTCCAGTTAAAAGAAAACACAAAAGGGTTTTTGTTTTTTTTAATGACCTGGATGAAGAGAAAGGACATGTTCATCCAGGGACGCGGACTTATAAAAAATATTGGGGGGGCCCGGGAAAGCTCATGAATAATAAATAAGCTCATGAATATGCAAATAAAGTGGCGCCGCCTCCTCGTGAGCGAATAGGGGAGAGCGTGCTGCGCCTATTAATCAGCTCCAAAGGAAATTGGGTGGAGCTTTTGCTCGGGAGGGAGGGCAGGAGGCATGCAGCCCGCCCCTCCCTGTGCATTTTGGGCTGGGGGAGGGGCGGCGATGGCGCTCTGCTGGAGGGGCGCCGGAGATTATTGGGGGGGCGGAGCCCCCCCAAACGAATTTTTGAGGGGGCTCGGGCCCCCTCAAGCCCCATGGAGTCGGCGCCTATGTGTTCATCTAGAGCAAAAAAGATTATATGGATGGTGTCTCCTGGGCTGCTTTGGGGAGGCTGTTCCATAACATAGATGCCACTACTGGGGTCAGTGGCGTAGCGTGGGTTGTCAGCACCCGGGGCAAGGCAAGTAATTTGTGCCCCCTAACCCGTGGATTTGCGCCCCCTAACCCGTGGATTTGCGCCCCCTAACCCGTGGATTTGCGCCCCCTAACCTGTGGATTTGCCCTAACCCCAGATGTTGCGCCCGGTGCGGCCGGCCCCCCCTGCACCCCCCACGCTACACCACTGACTGGGGTACCCCACCTACAAATACGTTTTTTTAAACAGAGGTATGACAGCCATCTTGCTAGGAATTCCTTTGGTGTGACTCCTACATTGCAGGTAGCTTGATGATCCTCCTTGTCGCTCTCAACTCTACATGGTCTCTTCCAATTCTACAATTCAATAATTCTATATTGCAGCTAGTTCACAGTTAGCAACATGTATGGGCAGACACAGCTCACATTGTTTACTCCACCTTGCCAGCAGATGATGATAGGCACACCCCCCCACACACACATTGCTATTCTGCCCACTTTACAGAGTGAGAAACTGAGGCATGATTCACAGCTAAGAAAGTCACTGGCTGCTGGAAGTCAACTCTTCTACAACAAGACCTGGGTGTGATCATTTCCAGCACTGAGTGCTTCTAGGTGACCTGTTTACTGACCATTCATCTCGATATGTTTGCAGGAAGATAGACAGAGTCAGCTACTTTACTGACCATTCACTCTTATTTGTGCAGAGGTTAGACAATGTTGCATGGATCGGATATGATCTTTCCAGTGCATTTTCCCACCCCTTTCCTTATCACAAAAGGTCTGATTTGGGGGAGTGGAGGGGAATCGGTGTCATTGTGCAAGAGCCCTGAATCAACCTTAATTGTTCAACCCAAAATTTCCACTTTGTGATTGAATCTCAACTGAAAATAGCAACAGCCAATGAGTGTTTCGTTTCCCTCTTCCTAGTCCGCCTGCCGCCAAAGGCAGCCAGCTCAGTTAGAAGCTTTCCTATCTTACAACTCAACAGCATCCCATTTGTCTATAAGTAGCAACTCTTACACTCTCTGCTTCTTTGCTAACTGAATTATTATTTCTATATATAATCGCCTGCTGGTAGGAAGTGCAAGACATAAACAGTCCCGGGGGATTTGAGTCCTTTATCTCGAAGAGAGAGCAGCAAAGGCAAGCTTCAGGAGACAGCAGCCCCCTTTACTTACCCTTCCCTTGGCCCGGCCACCAGAGCCATACATTTCACTCCTCTTTGACAGCCTTTCCAGGTGCCACAAAATCAATCTAAGATGCTTTTCTCTCTCATACTAAATGCTCAGTCATTTGGCTCAGATCCGGATCAGCTCCCCCGTGAGTCCATCTAGGCTTCAGGCCACAATCACACCACACATCTAAATCACTGTGATGGTTACAATTCCTGAGAACTGTAGTTTGTTAAAGGGGCTGAGAGCTGTTAGGAGACCTCCTGTTCCCCTCCCAGAGCTACAAATCCTAGGGTTGTTTAACAATCCACCCCCCTTCTCATGAAACTCTGGGAATTGTAATTCTGGGATAGATTCCAATCTCCACGCAGCCCTGAAGCTGGCTGGGTGACTGGCTTGGGCCAGTGGCAGTCTCTCATCCTTACCTACTTCACAGGGTTGTTGTGAAGATAAATCAGGAGAGGGGAGACCCATATATAACCACTTAGAGCTCCTTGCATGAAAAGGTGTTATAATAAAGAAAATTAAAGAAGAGGAAATGCACTAGCAACCCAACATAAATTTTCATAAAATGTGCATATGTCGATTTATATACATAGATGCATATATATATATATATATATATATATATATATATATATATATATGCAATACGTGTCAGCAAAGTTGGGATCACTGTGACCAGGTGAGCTCTGTGCTTGCATAATCTACTCTCGAGGTGCCACTCATGGGAAGCTTCAAGGGCCCTGTTCCCTCCCTACTTAGGGTTCTTTGGGTGGTATCCAACTAATGTGTTTCAGTGCGAGGATTTCCACTGTTGCAATTAGGCTCCAGCCCTTTCCCTCCTCCTATGCACTCCCCATGCCCTCCTCAAATCTGCTCTGGAGGGTTTGGGGGGAAACTCCAAAACAGATGTGGGGTTGGGGCAGAGGCAGAAATACTTGCAGTGGTGGGAAGCTTGCTTAGCACTACCGTGGATGCAACCTATTATCTTTAACCCAAACATACAGTCATTCTAGGCTGTGGAGAATGGCAAACTTTACAGAATTCTAAAAAAGGAAACGTGTGTGTGTGTGTGTGTGTGTGTGTGGGAAACATTAAGGAAGCAATTCCCTTGGTGGAAAAAAAACCACACACACAAGATAGACCAATGAGGAATGACCGCAAGATGCAATGGAGTATCTTGGGGAGAGGATCCAGGTGCAGCTTGTCTAATGTGGCATGATGTTCCCAACACTGGCCATCCACAAGAACAGCCTGCTGGACCAGGCCAATGGCCCATCTACTCACAGAACTGTAGAGTTGGAAGGGACCACAATGCAAGAATCTTTCACCCAGGGAAATTCTCCACTTTCCAGCAAGTGGTATTCACTGCCCCAGACCATAGAGATAGAGCATAGATACTCTGGTGAGATTCTCCTCAGAAGCTTGCAGGCAGGGCAAGAAGGCAAGGCTCCTTGACATCTTGTATGCACAGCGACACTGCCCCTGAACATGGAGGTTCAAAGTATTCCTCAATTCTCTCAATGTGTGGAAGGATGGAGGTAGGAACGATAGCTGTTCACATTGTTGACAGCAGGCAAGGGGTACCTGTCTCAGCCCGAGGGCCACATTCTCTTGTAGGCAACATTCTGAGGGCCAAAGGAAAATGGTGGGCAGGACCAGACACAAAAGTGGGTGGGGCGCTGGATGAATGTTTTACAGTCTACACATACTCACACACAGAACCGTAGGTAGGTGATCTTGCGCCCCTGGCAGAACCATCCAGATTGCGCCCCTAGCCATGGACATGTTAGCTCTTCTTTCCGCCTCTCCTCCAAACCCAACCCCCTCCACCCATTCAATTCACCCTCTATTTAAAACATTTTCTTATGAGGCAATAATTGATATTTTTATTTATAGACATATTTATGGACATATTTTTAGTTGATTTTGTGCCCCCTCCTCACCTGCACCCCTGGCGTGGGCCCACCCTGCCACCCCCTAGCTATGGCCCTGCCCACACACCCCTCTCCATCTTCTCTCCAGGCCAGCAAGACAAAGGATCGGAGTTCAAGGACACATTCCAGCCAGACTAAAACCCTTGAG